CTTCATCATCAAAGATATCAGCAGTGGATTTGGCTTTGTTTTTGTCTTTAAAAAGATATCACAGCATAAAATTATACTAAGGTCAAAAATCTTCCCATGAAATTCAAAGATTAAAAATTCTTCACTCTTAAAGAACAGAAAAGTTATATTATTTCCTGCTTAGTTACAAAAAAGTATTAAGTGGAACTATACTGCTTATCAGCCCCCAACAATAACAACAAAAAATTTTTCCTGTGGAATTTTTCCAAGCGCAGGACAGAAGTGCGGCCACCTGGCCGACACACTTATCCAAGCAGCATCAACCTACTGTTTGGAATAGCCTGGACTCGCTTAACTGGTAGAGACCTACAGAAAGAAGACAGTATTTAAGAGAGGCACCAAGTCCATTATTGTAGGAGCGTCTCTGAGAAGTAAGGGTTGGCATTTGCCTTTAAAAGTCAGACTATACAGAAGCATATAAAAGCAAACACTGAAATCTCTCCTGAATTCCATCCCGCAACCCAAACAAGACGATCATCACTGACAGTCTGGTACAGACGCTTCTAATTCCCCCAAAGGATATACTAAAGCATTAACTTTAGTTATTCACAAGTAATTTGAACAATGTACCTTACAACTTGCTGTTTTCAATTAACGTACCTTGGATGTCTTCCCATACCAGCATACACTGACCTTATTCTTTTTAACATGGACCACAAATAATCCTATTGATCACTATTTGGGTAGTTTCCAACCTGTCATGACCATAAGTGTGGCTGCAGTGAACGAGGCATGCATCCTTAAAACAAGGGCACTGACTCATGAGTGTCCCAAGTAAACAGCAGTTGTCAGAGAAAGCGGCATCAACTCATTTGTGACTCTAAGTCAGTCTCAACGATATCCGCAGCACAAATTCTTCCGGCCATGACTACCTTTAGTTTCAGGTCATTTCAGCGTGCAGAGATCTAAGTGTATTTTGCACTGGCTTGCGCTCCTTCTGAAACACCTGGGCCTCTTACCTTCTACACCTACCACCGAAAACGAGAGGAAACTCAGGTAGCCTGCTTCTCAGTGCATTCTGGTTCCACCTATTCCTTATGAGAAACAGCCCTTCCTCAAGCTTCTGAAAACTGTGACACCTCAGTGCTCTAGTCTCGTCTTCTGCAGAGGCCCCTGTGACTCTAAGTCACCTAGACCCTCACTACTCCAAGTGTGATCCACAGACCAGCAGCCTCCATGGCACCTGAGAACTACTTAGAAATGCACTCTCAGGCCCCACCCCACAACCACTCAATCAGAATCACGTGCAGATTCGACTGTGCATTAAAGGACAGTGACTTAGAGGAATGACCTCACAAACACACTGACTTAACGTTGAGGGGAGAAAACCCTGCCATATGAGAAAAAGCCAAGGATACCTGGGCTTTCAGGCGGACAGAAGAGAAGTTGAGGACTGAATGGCTAGCATGTAACGCTCTGCTCACATAACTTACTAAGGACTGCTAGAAGAAAGTGTGGTTCAAACTTTCTCTGTAATTCCAAAAGGTCCCAACGAAAACTCCTGAGCAGAAATTAGAAGGGAACAGACTTCAGCTCTCTGCAAGAAAGATTATCCTAGTAGTTAGTTTCCAAAGCAGGAAAGATTGGTTCTTAAAATAAGAGACTGACACCCAGG